CAGTATAGATATAGGAAAGATTGAAAAGCGTAAACTGGTTCAATGTAGTGGGAAGATGAAAAACTTCTACATCATTTATCAACTATTCACAGGATAGCTTTGTTCGTACGTCGTACCTACCTACTGTTGTTATGTCGTGACAACTTCCGTTTTCACCTATTCATAAGGACTGAGCGAGTTTTAACCTTTTGCTCAGTACTGTACCTAATAACATGACAATTAAGGTAACTGATATCCCTCATGAAACAAAATAAAGTTTATCAATGAATACATTTATTTTTATTGCTCTCTCAAGTGATGAAAGTAAATATCAGCGACAAAAACACTAGATATTCCAAGCAGTTTCTCATACAAGTTGTAGTCATTCAAGAGTACTAAGATCACTAGTACCCTTTTAAAAAAGACTGTATCTAAATTTCAACATTTGTAATGATTTTATGATTTTAATAGATATCGATTACCAGTATGTACCATCTTTCTAAAAATATAGAGAAAAAATCGTTAAAATGACCAAAATTTCAGTTTTTATACATTTGAATTGACCTAGTATCTGAGATTGCATCGAAAATCTCGGTCCGTTAGAACTTACTATTAAGTGCCTACTTCGTTTCTAGTATCTTAGAATTGTTCAGATATACGTGAGAGTTCTTTTAAGCTTTTTGTCGGTTATCTAAAGACAGAGAATTAATACAAATTGTATCTATGATGCATGCGAAAGTGCATATGTTGCAAACAAGAACCTTGCCACAATTTAGAATATAGGTTGGTCTTACGTCGTGGGTGCAGCGCGAGTCGAAATAAACTAAAAATTCTGATCGACATGAAATTCACAATCATTTTGTTACCTTTTTAAAAGCTGAAAAAGCTAATTAACCATTCAGACATATCGTATATTTGTACCTTAATCTCTAATATAATGGAGATATATAATAGAGAGAACTAATATAGGCCATTTCTGCCTGCTGTTCAATCCATGTCCATTGTATATACTTCTATGTATATCGTGAATAAAATACTTCTTAAACTAAACTAATTAAACTAGACATATCGAAACTATTTACAGAAATACATATACATGTATAATAACCCTCTCCACAATTTAAATCTCTTTCAAATTCAAAATTCTCGATTTATAATTCTGTACTTATCAATACTTGTATATTCCAGTATTGTTGATTTCCGTTGGGTTATTTATTCCTTCTCATCTTCATTCCAAGTATGTTTCTACGACATATTTCAATATCTGTACGTGTTAAACATCCTCTTCCCATCAAGTGTTATTCTTGTTAATTTGAGTAATCAAAATAACAGTTATTTTAAAAAATCCATTATTGGAGCTCTATTCATCAATTAATCTTTGCTCTTCTTGTTAAAGTGTTCCCTTTTTTTTGGGGGGGGGGGGCACAACCAACCATTTTCAGATTGGGGGCACTACTAAAAATTCCTAGACAAGCAAGCACCCCCCCCCAAAAAAAAGTTATTATGGAGGGGGCACAAGCATTTAGTAGCTATGTTTTCTATAGTATTCTTTATGTTAGCAAAATTATTGGGGGCACCCCCCTCCCCTGCTCCTACGGCCATGATGAGCACGGATAACACTTTTACTCCTTACACAATTCACTGAGGGAGACGTACATGCGGTTCTTACATTAAGGTCAGACGACACGTTCCTCAATAATATATATAATTTTTTCCAAGAATTTGTCATTGAAGTACATGTATTTCTACTTTAACAAGTTTCCTAACAAAAAATTAAGATTCCTTACCAGGCATTTATGCAAGACACCAGAGGATGCTATTTACTATATAATCCTATTAGAAATCACTAGCATTGCCAATATCCCAATTTTTGGTGTCTTTATCTACCAAGATGATTTAAAAACAGTTTAAAAATCACAAGACCATGATAATTATGATTAATTTGTGGTATATTACTAAGATATAAAAAAACATATTCGAGCAACGTGTCCTCAGACCTCAAGATATATATTGCAAGTAAAGAACAAGTATTAGACACTCGGAATACCGACCTCGACTTTGATTTTGTCAGCTTAACTTTAGAAAATCTAATCATTAAAAAAAAAATAGTGAATCAGACACAAACTTTAACAGTTTATGATAGTCTCAATTTACTGAAATTTGCTTGTAAAATGCCTTCAATATACTAATCGTTTTAAACTATCGTCAAAAGTAACAAGAAATATATTTACTCAGAACTCATATAACACGTACATTAATCTACAGTAATTTTCATTACAAATCCTAACATCTTTACTACAAAAAAATTAATATCAAATTGAAAGAAATGCTGTTAAATGGTCATCCTTAAAACGCAATAGTTAGCCGGAAAACATCCATTTATGGAACCTTTTTACGTGTTGTTTTACATGAAGGACTATTGCATTTTAATAGCATTCCTCTTGATAAAAATCACACCCTATCATTAATGCACAATTCATCGTTAATAAAATGATCGATTTACATAATTGCAAAACATTTCAAGAGGGCTAGCTACAACCAAATAACAACTGTATTTTCTGTGGGAAAATTTTTATAACAAATAAAATACAAAAACCAATTAAGTGAGGAAAAGTGAACTAATTGATGCTGTTTCCCTTGATCAAGATCAATAAGGTTATGATTCATAATGACAGGAATTGCAAAAAATTAATCTCGCCACAAACTCGCCTGAGTTTTTCTCCTATCTGAATCTCCCTGCAGTCCTAAACCTCAGATGAACCCGATGTAATGGTGGAGGTTACGTCTATATGTCCATAATCCATATGTGATACTTTTTTAACTTAAGTGAGTAAGAAAAAAACATGCACAATAACTACGTACTGGACAATTTAAAAAAAAACCAGTGCGTGGACTTCAGAGAGAGAGAGAGAGAGAGAGAGAGAGTTTAATATTAATACATTCAAATGTTGCAACGCATGCATCTTTGTGATTGGTTGTTTTAATCTAACACCGTGACTCAGACCAAAAGAATTAGTCACATTTTCAGTAGAAGCAAAAACCATGATTAAAAGGATTCATCTTAATTGATTCAGTAATAATTAAGAATTAATGCTATCAAAAAATCCTCTCTGCAATAAAATCTACAAATATAGAAATCTGATATGGTACAAGTTGGGTATAAAATTATTTTAGTCACACCCACGAGATTTCAATTCTGTTTATCCATGCAGGAAAAACAAGGCACTTTGTTGAAAATATAAAATATTAATTCCATCCTGGGAAAAATGCAATGGATAAATATCTCTTATACTAAAAATACTAATGATTTCTCTAATCAGAAATATTGATGAGGATTTTCAACTACTTATTTAAAATTGATAAATGTTAGTTATATTTTTAAGCAACTGAAATATAAATGTGTTAAATGTAAAATCAAATTGGACATTACCTTTTTCTTGAAATGATGAGCTGAAACTTCATGAAATTTTTATTTCATACATAATTTTATCCTAGACACATAAACCGAGTTTTCAAGCGACAATTAATTTTTTTAAAAAAAAGTAAAATTCAGTTTTATCAGTTATTTTGTATGACATATTGTAATATTCAAAGAGAAGAACCAGTAAGTTATAAGAACTTTTTTCCAATCTTTTTTTTTATTCAATAAAATATGTTAACCCCCCCCCCCCCCCCAAAAAAATCAAAATCAATTTGACAAATTTAAAATTTGTAAACTTATTTATTTAAATGCTTCTTTAAATATTGTTAAAAACGAGGGGAAAGTCCTTAACAAGACAGTTGCTAGGAACTAATCGAAAACTGACCATAGAAAAGGCTGAGTCACTCTTTTGTCTTGTCAAAGCGCGCTTCCTTAATCAAATCTCCAAATTCCTTTGTTTCGAAAACTCCGTTTAACTTGTCTTTGGGTCAAAACGTCGGAATGAGGACAAAGAAGTACTGACCTAATTATTTTCAGCTGCATGGTGGTCACTTTCGGCATTTAATCCCATCAAGACTATATTTTATGGAAATTATTTTCAAGGTCCCCCAAGACAGGGCTTTATTTCATTAAAAATAATTTTCAAGGTCCCCAAAGAGCTACAGTTTATTTCCGTGTCATATCTATTTTTAAAGTTAAAGGTCTTAAATATCCTATATAGTTAATTGATTAGTTACTTCAAAGTACTGTCAGATTTCAAAAATTAATGGAATCTTTATTTCTGGGCGGTGGGGGTGGGGGTTAAATATACAATCAAATTACAAGTGTGGCGTCATAATATTTAGATGAAATCTTACCTCACATTAACAAAGATGAAAACTGCCCAGCCGCAGATCGTTTTGCTGATAATTATTCACTAATTAAAATTTTAACAGAAAAAACAAAACAAAACAAAAAGAACTGAAGCTCATTTTCTTTTTTATTTAAGTTACTTTATAAAGTTCAATGTCTATACATCTAAAACATAATACTTAACTTACTATGCTTTGCCTATGGTTTGGTGTTAAAGTTGACAAATGAAATATTGCACATCAAGAAGTTTATGAATTACATATATTAAATGTACAATCTTCAACAAGCTACATTCAATAAAATCTGGGCTGGAACATCAACTGAAATCGTGAAAATTCACCATAAGTTATTCAGTAAGATTACAATTAACCAACAAAAAAAAAAAAAAAAAAAAAAAAAAAAAAAAAAAAAAAAAATTCAGAAAAGAAATATTAAATGAAAATTAAACAAGCATTGCAATATTTTAATTTACATTGCCGCAATAATTAACTAGTACATGAATACTTCAACAAAGAATTACTTAACACATTTATTTTTTAAAGGACTAATTTGTCCGATTAAGAGTAATTTGCTTGCCAAAAAATAAGACAAAATAAAATCAATCACATAAAAATGTTAATTGAAATGTGTGTCGCATATATATTATGATTCAAGGGGAGTTACCATCTTTAATAATTATTTTCTATAGCGACACATTTACAGAAAAAAATGTAAATAGCCTTCTTTCTAAAAACTTGAAAAAAACTTTCGCCCATGTAGGGACTCGAACCCTAGACCCTCAGATTAAAAGTCTGATGCTCTACCGACTGAGCTACACGGGCTATTATATATCCTTAATTTTAATTTTAAAGAGATCGAATGATTGGAATTTTAAATCAGAATATTTAAATAAAGTGCACGTGATATTGAACAAAAGATTTTGCAATGTAAAAATGTTTGAATCATTGTTAATAACCCTTAATAATGACATGGTAAAGTAACATATAATAGAAGGAAATTTCATCCGGCCCATTCATGACGATTTTATTTGGCCTGCAGTATATCATGGTTTATTATACATGTATATGTCACGTTTTGGGTTATAATGGTTATCGTACGTGCCTTATTTTTTAATGCCGTTTCGGTTTTTCACAAAATCAATTTAATATCAGTTTATTGTCAAAATATTTCATCAGTTGAAATCGGCAAGCGTATCGGTACTTGCTAACATCTATTATAATTACTAGCATATCTTTTCCGTTATAGAAATATCATCACATAGGTTGCATAGGTATTTTTTCTCCTTTCGAACAAATACTTTTTTGAATGAATAATAGAATTTATTTATTTTATATGATTGAATTTATACTGGGAGTTATTTTATGGTCAGACCTATTATTAATAAATCGATCATATCCCGTGTCAGTGTACATGCTGGTCGCTGATCAACATTGTCTGCCCCAGTATGAATATTTTGCATGGACCAAATAAAATTATGATTCACATTATTTTTCAATGCCATACCTAAATAGCTTTTACATTAACATCTCAAAAAGATTTCGGAGGGCCTCTTGGATGTATTTATCATGAATACAAGTACGCATACAAAGCGAGATTACTCTTATATAGACTAAAGTTGAAATTTGTAAACTATTTATAGTACAATAAATAATACACTTCCCTTAAGTGGAAATAAATAACAATAAATATAATCCTAGCTATATATAAATTTCCTTATAAATAAACTCAATATCAATTATTCTATCTTAACCCCCGAACAGGGAATATCTGATGCACAATTGAATTGATATATATATAATGTTCAGCTTGTTCAGTTAGTATTCGAAAAAATTATAATGCCACCAATGCATACATAAGTCATAAATAAAAAAAAATTTCAATTAGCTCAAGTAAAAAAAAAAAAAAGATATGGAGAATCCGGGTATCGATCCCGGTACCTCTCACATGCTAAGCGAGCGCTCTACCACTTGAGCTAATTCCCCTCATGAATACTATGCGTCAGAATTTAGACCATACAGAGTTGTCTATGTAAAAACCCACGTGATATTTAGACCGACTTTGAAATGGTGTTTTAACATTTAATCTACCAATATTATGAGAGTGACTATCATTTAGTTCGTTATTATGGTTATACATGTAGGATGATTTTTTTATGTATACTTGCACATCAGTGGCGGATCCAGGATTCTTGAAGGGGGGGGGGGTGCTAACTCTTCCTACAAACCGTTTGTGAGACGAGTAGTGGATCAAGCTCCTTACGGGACGACCATTTGATCGGGAGCTGGCGTTGGGTTATTGGCAATATTAATAATTTTCCATGTCAGTAAAGGACCGATGATCACTATTATAGGAACAGATTAATTATTTTCTTCTTCACTTAAAAAGTCTGACAAACAATAAAAAAAAAATGGAAAATTGCCAACGCATATTATGGGTATGGTTGGGGTTGGGGGGTAGTAGGACCAGGCAAAAACAGATTATTTATCATGTTTATTATGCCAGCCGAGGAGAGATTTTTTATTTCAGCATTTCTGGGATTTCCAAAATCTGTCAAGCAGCCCCGGCCCTTCAGAATCAAATAGTCGCCCCCTAACCAAAGGAGCTGGTGGACTCTATCGTCTAAAGCCACGGTTCGGAGTCCGCATATAGCTGATGTAGGCCTAAATCAAGACTTCCATTCGGGGTTCAGTCCCCTTGTGCAGTGCACAACCGTGGGCTGTATCTACCGCAAATGAATAATAATAGATTATGCCACTTTTGACCTGAAACTAAAATTAAAATCATAATAATGTTTCAAAAGTATCATTTTAAACACAATATATTGAGAACAAACTACGAAAAAAGTGCACATTATAGGCTATCATGGGAATGATAAACAAGCAAAAAAAAAAAAAAAAACACAAAAAACTTTTCCGCTGATGAAAAACGATTTTTGCAACATCATTGTTTACCATAGTTCTCAGATTAAAAAAAACGCATTGTAGCAATGTACTTTTTTTCTGTGCATGGTAAAACCATTTTCCCCCGCAACATAAGAAAGTTATACCTCTTTTTGTCATGCAATACGACCCAAGGACTTTTTTTCTTTAATTAATTATGAGTTTTTAACTGTCCTTAAAATTTGGACTCATCCATTGAATGTCAAATAAATAAAAGACGTCAAATCAAAAAGAAAAATAACTTCTTAATAAAAATTGTCACCAATGCCTAAAATGTGTGAATTAAGAGCCTCCGTGGCCCAATGGATAAGGCACCGGCCTCCTAAGCCGGGGATTGCGGGTTCGAGTCCCGCCGGAGGTTGTACATGTTATTTTTTAAAAATTAATTCTGTTTTTTTTTTCATTTCTACGAGTATGTCATTAACAGAGTAGCAAAATGCATTCTTAATTGTCCATGGTTTGGCGTGAAGCAGTCGATCCTTGATATTTTGCCGCTATGTATCTTTATCCAACGGAAGTAACCCCGATCTTTAACAGAAGACTGGTGTGTGTCTGGGGATACGGTTGACGATCAGACAAAAGGGACCAACGTCTATCGTATTTTAAAGTTTTTCCGACACTATAGACAGTATTAAATAATAAAGTCCCTAAAACTAAATTGAAATTCTCAAAATGAGGTTCAAGTAAATCCAAGAGTTATCGTTCCTAGCACAGATAAAATAAATTCTGAGGTAAGCATGACTGTATTTGTTTTTGTGATTAAAATTACATTATGATCTGTGAAAGAATACATGGAATACTGCTGGAGATATAGTAGTCGGGGGCATGGTTTCATAGCTGCATGTGTCTTAAAATTAGATTGCTCAAGTTCGGTTTATTACACTCAAACCATACATGACGGTACACAGGGAACATAAAGTATAAAACATACACACTGTATCTTAAATCGTCACAGCTACATATAACATATATACATAATTAGTAAAATATTTTACAACATTTATGAACATAAGGGGTAGGAAAGGCAGACGTATACAACAATAGATAATATATAATAATAATAATAACAATACATGTATGTATGTTACCTATGCATTGAACTCCAGGAGAACAATATTAAGGGGGGCAGATTTCCACAAGCTCATCTGACCTTCCTTGACTGTCAACAAAATCTGCAAAATAAAGTGAAATTGTGTTAACCACCTGCATCTTGAAATGACGTCGACTGCAATGTTCATTTTTTTTTCTTTCAGGATTACAAAATCATGTGATTCTGGAAATCATTTGAAAGTATATCAATACGTATACCATCTCTAAATTTCTATACAGATACACCATAGTACCATATAATGATACAACCAGGGTTAGCACAACCCTAGCCACCCTCCCTTGATAAAAGGTTTGCGTGTTATCTCCCTTACCTTCGAATTCTGCCAAGTATTAAATTGTAAACTTAAAAAAAACTTTAAAAAGGTGTTAAAATTTCTAATGCTGACACAATCACCTTTTCAGCAGTTGTTCCGTTGTAAGATATGGCATCTGGCATTAAGATATGAGAATTACTGTTTTTCTTTAACATCTTTTTTGGCTCCACAAAACCACGCTTATTACACACTAGCATAATTTGATGGTGATAATCGTAAACAATATATGACGTAATTACACTGTATTTATCAACTCTCAAGAAAACCCTAACCCTAACCTAAATTAATTATTTAACGTGTATATATCCAATTTAGTTCCACAATCAGATTTTAATAAAATATATACATAGTTCAGATATACCAATAAAAAGTTGCAACTTTCGTTTTTTTTTTTTTTTTATATCGCATATAATATCGCGAGAGTCATATAGAGCTTTAAAATGTATAACTTTGCGCCATTTAGGATCATGCTGCACATCAAAACATTGAAGCCTGTCTAAATGGTTCTGAGTTACAAACTCGGACAACATGCTATAATCCTGCACGCCCAATTTTCACGAAATGCTTTCAGACAAGTAAACCCCCCCCCCCCCCCCAATCTCTTGTAAACAACTGTGCGTTTCATCGTGGTGTTAATAGGTAATTAATATATCAAAATCGTAATGACAATTGATGCCTCGTTATCTTAGCCATCAACACTCCGTGATCTCGTGATAACATTATCAATCCTACATAACACTTGTATATAAGCATCATTACATGTATTCATGGCTCCTAGCAAAACTTGCATAAAAGTACAGTGCACATTTCTTAAAACTGAGCTGAAAAGTCTTCTTAATGTCATAAATGGTTTGCTGTTATAGATGTAAAATTACACACAATATATATATAGATGTACTTTAAGGAATTTTACAAGCATTAAAGAAAAAAGCACAGTACTGATAAAGCCATGTTGTGCAGTGATATTTCCATTGATATTGTGTAATTCATATATAAAAATCAAAATTTGCCTTTCTTTTTTATAAGAAACTTGGTTTCAAAGCATGGCAGTTTCTTTTTCACTTATTCACATGTGAAGGATTTCGTCTGTTATCTGTATAAAAATAACAGTGTCTTAATTTAGTACACAAATAAATAAATAAATAATTCGAATTATCAAATAAAACAAAGATTCCCTTAAAATCGTAAATATCACACCTTAGACACTTGTCTACGATACCATTATATAGGAACTTTTGATGAACGACTCATCCACCACGTACAGCGATAGTAAATTTCACATGACCACGATGACATCCAAGTACATACCCTCGGTTTCATATTAATGTAAAAGTGGTGCAAACCGAATTCTGTACATATAACCATTATTCATTTACCCTACTTTTATAACTTACCTCTTTCTGCAAAGTTTCTCCTCTGCGACCTGCGTCTGGGGGTGTCGCTGCAGATTGGCTGGTG